CAGCTTTCAAATTCCCTTCCTGCTGATCCATGTTATCTCGGATGTTGCTGGTATTCCAAGCCCATGCTTGTGGCAGTGGCCCCTAATCTCCAGCTCTCACTAAACTTGCACCACAAGTAAGGATCTAGGTTTCCTGAAAGAGCATTCACTTTTTATGTTGCACTAACACAGCTGCAATCAACTCTTTTCCCTTGATATAAAAAGGGAACGACTGCTGCTGCCAAAGTGTTTTTCATGTGGCCCATCAGTTCCAGAACAGGAACCCACCTCTCCCAACCACCGGAAAAGCTGAAAAAGTCTTTCTTTCAAAAACAGAAAAAAGAAAAGAAAAGAAAAGAGAAAGAGCAGGAACATATTGTAGATGAGAAAAGATTGCTTCCTGCCATACAGATAGAGTAGAGCAAATCAGAACAAATTAGATTTATACGTGTGGCCAGCAATGGATTCCACAGTTTAGCATAATTATAGCTTATTTTGTTATGCATATTGGACAAGGTAGCCTAAGCTTAGCCAAGGAGCTCCTTTGAAGATGTTGTCTGACCACAGCCAAGAAGCTCCCAATCTGTTTTTTAAAGAAATTGCAAAAAAAAAGGCAAAGATAAGCAAATTGGCCTGGCCAACAAAATTCAGCATAATGAAATATCAGTTACCTGGAAAGTAATTTGTTTATGGAAAAGTAGCACCTGGCCTGACAATTAAACTTTAGGACATGAGAAGTATAACCCAACTACTTTATTCATGTTATTTTGCAGTTTTCAAGCACAGTCTGTCTTTGGGATGTAGCGGGTACAGCACGCTGAAAAGGCACCTTTTACCAGGAGGTGGTGAGAATTTATCTACACAACCCAATCCATTGCATAAGATTGTGACATTTCACCTGAAAGGCAGGAAACAGCTGAGCAGTCTTAAATTAAAAACCACTTTACAATTAAGGAATAAACCTGCCAAAATCCCCTAAAAGCACATAGATAACTATGCTTCAAACACTTCAGTGGGGTAGATCAAAAAGCCTCCTCGAGTTCTCTTTACAGGAACAGAGCTTACAATACTATGATTTAGGAGTGTTCCCATTTCTATTTTGTTAGCATAATTTTCCTTGTCTTAAGCATTCTTGTCATGGAAAACAGGTAGACTCAATACAGATATGGACAAATGTCATGTGGGCCAAAAAGTTTTGGATAGCATTCCTTGCTTTCTCACTGAATCTGGCTGTACTTGCTTCATTATTCAAGACACCGACATTTTCCTTGAGGAACTCTGAGAATCAGAGCATGTATTTACAAGATCACTCCTCATTTATTCCAAGACTTGGTTACTGGCATTATTTTTGCAAGCTGAATATAAAATCCAGTTGATACATGAAAAACATGCACAGGAGTAGAGGGGCATTTTTGACTGCTGCTGATTTTGATGAATCACTAACAGCCAGTATTGTCTACAGGGGGTAAAAAAAAAAAAGAATGCCAAAATATCAAAAATGGCTGACTATAGTTAGTTCACTACTAGACACCTAAATAATTGTCCCTGTTTTCTGTAGGGTTGTGAACCTGTCAGGGGCATTCTAGGTTCAATGTAGTTTTCCCAATAAGAACCTTAATTCTGTATGCTCAATTGTTAAAAATCTTGGTCTCATTGTCCCACATGCCTTAAAAAACAAACCAACCTCCTGTCCCACTGAAGGGGCATGAACTGATCTCATCTAGATGCTGCACAGAAAACCGAATGGCCCTTGCTTATTTGACTGGTGAAACTATCATCCACTGATTCATGAAGTAAGGGAAATTTCTGCCACCTCCTCTGAGAATTCAAGCTTTCTCACATTACCAGGCCAATGACAATGGTGAGATTAGCACACTCATCTCACATGAACTGAAAAAAAGTGTGCCCAAAAAAGCCCCCCCCCCCATATTTTGGGAGCCAATGGAAATGGGACAGCACAAGATTTATATGCCAGTGCTGCATATGACTATGAAGTCCACAAAAAATAGCTAAGGTGGGCGTGTGCATTCAATAGCTCACTGTAGTTAGAAATAATGTGCAGCGCACTTGGAAGTACGTTTGTTGGTTTTCACTAAGGAAATCATGTACGTGCTTTGTCCAGCTATCATATTTAATAGTGGCTGGCACTTAGCTTCAGTTTAGAAAAATCTGGAAAAACACAATTTGGCATGAGCTGAAAATGTCAAAAAAATGACTGATTTCCTTGCATTGAACTCATTGGTTGAAATACCTTTTAGGTGCAAAGAAAAAAAAAAAGGTATTTGATGCCTTTTCCAGAAACTGCTAATAAAATACATGCCAACACCTGGCAAAGGAGCTCTTTTCAACATACTGAATATTTAAGTTGTCGGTTTCCTTATGTCCATGGAAAACGAGCACAGAAGTAATCCAAAGCTTGTTCCGTAATCTCCAATGGTAGAGCCTGTGTTTCAATGATTCCCAATTCCAGGGGGTTATTTTGGTTCAGAAGGAAAAGTCATGTGAAAGAAAAATCACTAAAATGTATCACAGCTTTTTCATCTGGGCAGTACTGGGTCAACTGCAGCACTGGGCCAACGATTCCATCCACAACATGTCTTGCTGCTACTGCTGTTGTTCATTTGCTTTTTTGTTTGTCTGTCAAGCATCAGAACTTTTTTTTCTTAAATCCAAAACCTAATAAAACCATGTAAGCATGATTTTTAGATTAAACCAAGCTGCTATGGGCAGAAAATTTAAACAAGTATCAAGATAAAGATGAATGTATATCACTTGTAGATGTACAGTCTATCTAAGAGCTGGAGTGACTCTTCTGATAGTATCTCCATGAAAACTCAGGGGAATTCTCAGCAAACTTCACAAATTTTCCTCTGTGCCAGAAATGTTGAACAGAATTGTAGATAGATAATGTTATCTTGGAGAAAGCATGGAGCTGGGTGACAAAGTTAGAAACAGCTGAATTAGAGCTGTGCCCTGATATGTAAAACACAAGAAGGCTGTTTAGATTTTAGCTACATGCAAGAGCTACCTCTAATCTCAGCAATTCAAGTTAGAACCTGAGTGTTGATGTAATAACACTTATTTTTATGATCACAAAGTATATTAATGCATTTAATGTTATCATGACTACTGTTCACCTGCAAATACATAAAAGGTGTAATTTTTTGACCTACACATTATCAAAATTAATTGGAATTTTAAGACACCATCAAGGAAATACATTTGATGTATATATTTAATCATGTTATTGTTCCTATTAATTACTAGAGAAGTAATAAATCACTGTAACCAAAAGAGTAGTTAGAAAGTATGAAAAATAAGTTAAAAATTAGGGAAAAGGAGCAAATGAGGAAGCTGCTCAGAACCATGGTATCCAGAAACCATATGGAATAAATTAGGAGGGAAAGCTATTGAAGCAATGAATATAAATGATTTCAAGAGACACCTAAATTGTTTCCAAAGGAAGAGACAGAGGGAAGTTGTTAAAAAGAAAAGAAAAATAAAGTGGAAAAAAGATCAATCAAAAGAGCAATCTGTTGGACAGATGGTCTTATTCTGTTCCTAGAGTATCTTCATTTCTTAAAACTGAAAATTAAACTAAAAATGTAATGCCACATTTGCCCAGTAGCCTCTATTTAAAAATAGAATCTCAGTCCTAATTTTAATTTCCTTGAATCCATCATTCAATGGCATACCAAATTTGTCTTTGGACTATGTGAGCATGTATCTTGTTTTACACTTCCCAGTGTAAGATGGACTGCCCCTTCACGTACTACATTTATGCCAAAATTTATCTCACCTAACTTTAGATCCGTTAGTGAGGTGTAGGCTCCTTGACCAGCCACTGCAGACAGCCTGGACCACCCCCGAGCTCTGACCAAACCTAAACCACCTTCAGAAGGTGCCTGTTGCTGTCAGGGTCATGTAAGAAGCCATATGAGGAGACAGAGTATGAACTCATTCAGCATGAGTAGAGTTCAAGGCCGTGGCCCGTCTTGTGCTCCCAAAAATACATGAGGATAGGCAAGAGAAAACAACAAAATGAAACTCTTCTGCTTACATGTTGCACGACTTTGTGGGTCCAAGCACAAATGGGTGCATTTGGTACCACCAGAGATGCACTGAGCAATCAGTCAGGCAACAAAAAGTTTCATCATCTTTTTCCTCCCTGCTGTGCTCTCACCTGCCACAGATGGTAGTTTCCCCAAGAAATGGCTTATTTACAAGTCTTTTTAGAGGACTTTAAAACTCTGGTTATTTACATGAAATGGTAATAAATGAAGCCTACTTTGCCCCAGGTGTCTTTCTACATAAGTTGTAGCCACATGGTATGCAGCAATGATCATTGTGTGCATGTGTGAGCATGTGCATATGTGTGTCCAGATGCTTTCTGCTTGAAGAAGAATTCACAACTGGAAAGGAAAATAATAACCATAACCATTTTTGGGTTTATTTTATGTAATGTTCTTCAGTGGATGTTAAACAGCAATAAATCACCTGTCCCTTTTATAAAAGAGACTGGTTTGAATTGGAAAGAGCTCAATCATTTCCTGCATCCATCAGCTCTTTGATTTAGGTTAGTTAAAGGTGGGTCGAGAGTGTTCTACCTCTCCTTCTGCTGATTTTCCTTCTTGTTTTAAGTCAATAAGAGGTATCAACAGCATCTTAAAATTTTATGGACAGATTATTGGTTACAGGCCTCCTGAGCCACCTCAGGATGGCTGCTTCTCCATCCTAGCTGTTGAGCTGCCATACAGATTAGAACTATCTCCAGTCTCAGACTTTTTGAGTTTTTCTGTTTGGAAGCTTTGAGAGCTCCCACATATACAATAATAAGAACTAAGAATAAGATTTTAGAACTGTACCACAAAATAGTAGTTATCCCAAAACAAGAGTTTCCTAGCTGTTTGCTTCAGTGCATATTTAGTGACTGCGTTTTTTCATGCAGCTTCTCTGGTGGGAATTTGATAACCCACCACAAAAAGAAATGAATGAGTGATTTCATTTCAAAGGCATCTTACCAGTGGGCTACCATCAGTCCAGCGGAAATCACGCTCAAACATCTTGTCATTGAGGCCAATCCACTGGTAGTCATGCCCAATACCTAATGAACCAGAAAGATATTTTTATTAACCTTGCCATAAATGGAAGGGATATCACCAAAGAAAATAAAAAGAATTTGCACAGAATGAATCAGACATCCTGTTCTTAAGATTCTTCTACTTATTATGCAAACAACTATTTACAGGCTGGTTTTCAGCTTTTCAATTTTAATTTGGGATGTCTATAAAAATGCAGATTCTCATCTAAACAATCGTGTCTCTCCCCTCCTGATGGCATCTCACAAAGAAAACAGATTAGTTTCCTACCTAGGTGCATATGAGGGGGAGAAAAAAAAAAAATAATAAAAGCACATATTTTAATCTCAATTTTTCAAGTTTTGGTTAGGCTGTGACCAGTGTTGTCTAGACTGTGCACCACAACATACAGGAACTATTTCTTTATGCCTATCTAATACAACATAAGGCAGCATGGTCATTGATGTCAGGTACACAAAGATTCTAAACCCTCTGCAAGAAAATGTTTCACCAATTTCCAATGCCAAAACAACAGTTTGTGTTCTCTTCGTCAAAAATAAAGTATTTTTTATGTAAGAAATAATAACTTAATAACCACAGAGAACTTACATTGACTGCAAAAGTAAACATGAAGAACACAAAGTGTGCCTTTTAAACATTCTAAAAGTGTATTTTAAGATGGAGAATAAAAGCTGAGTGATCAGGAGGATATTACACTAGCTCCAAACCATCAGTGCCTGCTCTTTTTTAGAGGAATGCTAACAGTACATACGGTTCACAAAGATCTGCTCCTCATGAGACAAGATGCTTGTCAAGTGTGCTCCCTGGAGACGGCATTCCCTTTCAGCCGTGTCCCACGTACGCCGATGGGCAAAGTATTTGTAGCACTGTCCTTGGAACTTGTGCCAGCCATAATCACAGGTCTCCGTGTCTGTAACAAACAAATAAATCACATCTCTTCAGTGGATGTGAAACAGGCGTGTTTCATGCAAGCAGATGGATTTTCTGCAGGGCAAAGGTTCAAGAAGATATCCACCCATTAAGCCGTACGAATGTAAATAATCAACAGTCCTTGAGACCTCATTACATTTTCAGATAGTTTGGTTTACCCAGTTTCAGTACAAGCTTCAAGAATGTCGCTTATGTAGGGAGTACGATTGCAACTGGCAACTTTGTGAGCTTCCACTGAACTAATTGTGCTGTACCTGGACAATCTCAGGAGAACATCTTCAGTCCATAACTCTGGATGAATGAAATGCCTGGATGTTGGACTGCAGTTAGACTACATTTCATCTGAGTTTTCTGAGTCTGTATACAGGGATGGGAATTTTTACTTGCAAGGGAAATAGTTCTTTGAGTGACTGTACTGAATTACCTTGGCTTAGAAGAAACCAATAACTGGAAATAACATAAAGGAAAGTGCTTGTGATTGTTCAGTCCACAGATGTAAAACTGCAGTGTTATCTTTCTGAACTTACCTCTCCAAATACTCCTCCAAAACCCATCTTTCTTGACAAAGTCTAACTTAATAAACTTTAGGCATCAGTTTCTAAGGAAGGCTGTAACGCTGAAATACAAAGTAATGAAATGCACGCTGTCTGTGCTTGTATGAGGGATGGTACTGATAAGAATGCCTAACAGACAGAAGTTCACATCAGCCAGTATATTCTTTCATCTAAAGAGAAATAAACACGAGCCTTGGAACAGTAACAATCCGTGGACTTGACATCAATTATTTTGTCAAGGTTAGGCAGCTGTAAACAGAATAGATGGCATGAAACAATAAAGTTCTAGTTCCAGGCTTGCTTCTGCACCAGCACTGCAGGAATTAATCACGGACAAAAATCAGTATTAATAAAATGGGCATAACAAATATGATGCCTGAATGTGTCTGAGCTCTGCTTGATGATAAGAACTTGCCACTGAGAAGAATATTAAGGAAGAATGGGAGAAACGATAGGGAAAACTCAAGACTGTTTTGGCAGTTGAAATGGCATCATAAAGGACACTTCAGCACAAGATTACAGATTGTTATGACTGCATCTGGTTCCAGCTACCTAAGTACACGATGGCTCACCCTGAAGGGCCTCAGTTGCAGGATGCTGAAGAAGAGAAACACAAAACTTGACCTTCCCTACCCCAGGCACCAAACAGGAATTTATCACTTCTCACCAACTCAATGCCAAACTAAACTATGCCTTAAAATAACTGTCTGACTTTTCCAGAGGTAGAGGTATGTTCTAGGCATGAAATTGGATTTCTTATTTTCAGTAAGTCAATATAGTCAATAGTCAACACTATGCTTTGGCCAAAGGGGGTCTTTTTGCATTAGTGCAGAAAAAGCCAAATATTACAGAATATGCCAATGACATATGACTGCAAATTCTTTAATTATGATATTTCTTGAGCAGCTACCACCTGAAAGACAATCATTGAATAATTTTTTCACGGCACAAAACTGGTTGTTAATGGATAGCAGGAAGTAGACATTCACATTCTGAAGCACCAAAGCATCTTTTTAAATGTCCCAAGATAAAACCTAGATTTTACATGTACATAAATAGATTTAAAAGTCCAAACATATAACTTCAGAGCCTTACCAGAATTTCTCTTGACAATTCCTGGCAACACAAATAACACAGTAGTCATTGTCTTAGGAGTCTGGTATCAAAATTGTTTTCTAAAAGTTGTCAGTGCAGACATAAATGTACCAAATACAAAGGCATAATAGAGCTTACACTGATTATCTCTCTTCTATTTTCAACAAGCTAAGCTGCAGAAAACTGGTTGTGCCTTGAGTAATCCCAGCTATGAGAAAGGAATGTAATCTATACTACTAACTTGTTATTTTTTTTGTCTTTTCCCTCTTTGTATTCTGTATGAGGTGCAGGCTGCAGATACAGCTTTAACCTCTGGCATCCAGGCCATGTTAAAGTTTAGTCTGCCTTTGGCTTTCTAGAATGTTTGTTTAACCGCACAATGCTGACTAACAGTGCTACATCCTTTGTGAAGGCACTTAGTTTTTATTATTAATCTTGTTCAGGGACTCCCTTGTCCCACAGGAAAGAAGTCAGATAGTAACAAGCGGCATTGTTTGCTGAGAAAATCATGGCCAGAGAGCATTTCCAGGCTATTCTAATCAAGCCCTCCCCGGCCTCTGCTAGGGAAGAAGTGCACAATTCGAGAGATCTACTGAAAGGTACATGGGGGAGGCAGAGAGGCTTGAAAACACAAACCCTAGAAGACTAGGTTCAAAGAATGAGATATAATGGCCTGAGCACGAATCATAAATAAGAAAATTTCTCTTTTTAAGATAACAGATGCCAAATAGTGACATAGGTACTTTTATTTGAAATGCATGCACTGCAGTGCATGTACAATTCATCCCTCCCATTCAATTTGGCATGCAGTTTTCCAAAAGGAAAAAGTTGAATAACTTCTTCTGCACCTGTTTGTAGCCCAAATCCACAAAGACAGAAAAAGACAGGTCTGATGGCTATAAAATACACAGGATGTTTAGAAGGTGAAGAAAGGATTTTCTTTTTTTTTTTTGGGGGGGGGGGGAGAGGAGGGGAGAGGTTGATGAGAAGAGGGCAAAAAGAATGGGGAGAGTGACAAGGATGAAAAATGCAAACCAGACAAGTAAAAATGTGGGGATTGTCTCATCTCTGTGCTTTGTCCCAAGTGTATGTATCTTACTACATTAACAAAACAGAAAGGGTGACACAAAGGTAAGGGCTTCATATGGTTATAAGTTTTTAATGCCTTTAATGAACCAGTAAAGTCTAACTGCAGGTGGCTGTAAATTTTCTGTCATGATCACCTGTGAGCACGGTAGGTGCAAGCACTGAATACAATACTCCATGTTCATTGTATACTTATCCAGGGAGGTAATCACAGCTTTCTGCAACCTTATTCCAGACCATGATGGAAAGACTGAAACACTGCTTGCCATATTTATGGTGTTTTAAAAGTTGTCTGACTAGTCTTAAGGTTTATGACAATTTACAGGCCTTGTCAATGATGTGTGCAAGCAGTTACTTACATAGCTTCTGTTCTCTGTAACTGCAATTGTATATGTATAACAACATCTCTAAACACTGCATTAAAAAAAAGAAGTTCTCTATAAGTTTGATACATAGATAGGTACTGCTTTTCCAACAGCTGCAATAAGCTGCTGACAATAGGTCCCTTGTCTTTAAAGAAATTCCTTAACGAAAATAAAGACTGAAACACAGGTACTAGAACATAATGAGAGTCTTACTCAGTTGTGAATTTTATCTGTGACTGTCTGCCTTCAGCTAATGAACAAATGCCTGGGGCCCATTAGCCCACACATCTTGAGGAAAAGCCATTTCTCTGGTAAATATTCAAAATAATCCCTTCTCAGCTGAAAGACATCAGTTAGAGACCATCTGTTTTCATAAAGTATCTTTGCACTGAGCCCTTCTCAAATACTTCCATCCCTAGCTACCAAGCCCTGGGAACAAAGTGAATCAAATGAGACCAGAGTAATCACAGACATTTCAACAATGAACTTGGGTTATAAAAAAAACATTGTTCCTGAGATGATGATTAAAAAAAACCAGTTGTTTTGTTTTCAGAACCTGGAACAGAACAGCTGGTTGTATTATCCCAAGGAGGCACGTCCAGAAACAAACACATATGTGCCATTTTGGCACACAGGGCCATGCATGCAGCTGCATTTGGTAAGTAGGCTAGCCTAGGTGCGCCTGCCGAGATCCTGCAATGGAGAGAGCCAAACCTTGAGTTTAAAACACCAACACCCTTCCTTGAAAGCAGGTACACACCAGTTAGAATAGCAAAAAGGGGAAAAAGAGAAGGAAACTCTAGCCAGCCAAGGAAGGAAGAGGAAAACCTGAACAGGTGTTCATCCAGTTCTTATAACGCTTATTCTTGAAACTGAGGTTCAGATTGCAAGTCTCTACAATTTTGTTGTTTCCCACATAACTATTCATGCAGTAAGGTACTCCTCACCACAAATACATATGGCCAGATAATGCAACAACAGCCACAGACCTTCATCACCCCACTGGTACCTGGGGACTATTCTCTACAGTTGATTCCACCAGTCCTGTGTGAGACAGGGTATCAAACAACACCTCTCCCCTCTTTCCCCAAACATGGACCTTGCAAAGCAACACTTCAGGCAGCAAAATTAGGAGGATCTGAGCTCTGGGCTCATTTATCTGGACACTGAGTGCTCTCATAAGGGCTTTTCACAGAGGGATGACAATGGAGAGGTTGATGGCTCTCTCAGGATAAGACTTGCATCAAATTATACTGCCTGCAGTATAAGTAGCCTGCAGTCACCCTTTGAAAAAGTGGCTTTTGGGATATATCTGCACTTTGAGAAGCGATGTTCAAATATCACCAAGCGTCATGCAGAATATGCATCTGTACTTTGACAAGACACAAGTGGTGGGCAAAAGAGGGTATTAACAGAGGTACTCCACTCATTTCTGATCTACTCTGAACCAGAAGCAATGCTGGCTTACTGAGCTACCAATCTAGTTTAAAAAGGAAACACCCTCAGCTGCTGTATTTCTCACATCAGAGGACTTTAGCTCTCTTCAGGAAGAAGTTCCTGGGCCGAGATTGTCTGCTGAACTGTTTCCACCTGGCAAGAGAACCGTCTGTCAGGGAGCCAGTTACAGCTCACTGAGTTTCAGGATTGATTTCCCTCACCCCAGGTTAGATCACCCTGAAGGCTCCTTCAACTTCTACCACCTGCCGGAGCTCCCCGATGTGCAGCTGCACTGTCCTCTGGTCACATCCCATCCTAACACTGGCACAGGAGTAACACATCAGCTGAAGATTCCTCAGTCTAGAAAAGTCTCACAGGAGCATTTGGGTGAAATTCTGAGCCCTACGTTTTTTCTACACCAATGTCATGGGACCAGGACACAGCGGAGATGTCTCCTACTTTGAGCTTCATTTCCAGAGGCAATGCATGGTCACTACTTCCATTCCTTTCACTGGCATTTGAGTACTCAGCACTGTGCCTAAGAAAGCCCTTCAGACTGACTTTTTTCAAGCTTTCTAAAATGAATAGTATACATTGGAGGAAAAAAAAGAAGAGTAATGAAATATAATCTCGGTGTGCTCAACTCCACCTTTCCTGTGGCACCGAGGTACGCATTCTGTCGTTCTGGCTGGTCTTTAAATCTAGTGAGGTCAGGACTGGTGCCTTGAAATAAAGCCTGCTTGCCAGACAACCGTGTCTGAATTGCCAACACAGTTTTATTTTGTCTGGTGGAGTGGAAATTTGGCACTAAATGCTTTTCCCAAGTCCCAAACCACTGCAGGACTTTAAGTGGAGGAAATTTAAATTCCAAAGCTGAGTGAGCAGGGCTCTGGTTCTGATTGACAAACTAGGAAATGTTCCCATTAACCACCTAAAATGCGCTCTCAGGTTGGTCATAAAAAGTGGCTTAAAGCTACCACGGTACTCAGAGCCACTCGCTACTATGGATTTGCTGTCATGAAGGGGAGGAGGAAGGGAGTGAGAACACTTATTTCTTTTGTTGTGAAAACACTGTCAACTTATAATTTTGGAGAACAGATTCAGAAAGTCCTTTCTAATTACAAGGTTAGCCAGGCTACCAGAAGAGTTAAACAGTGAAAAGCTTGTCAGCTTTGAGAGTTTTCTGCTCTAACAAAAAAATCTCTATAGGTTCAACTGGAAGAGTTTGCAAACTGCCTTTCACTGAAGGTGAGAAACAAACATGAAAATACACAATATTAATTAAATAAATCCAAAGGTCTAGTTCTTTCACCGGTGACCAAAATCATTCAGATGAAGAAAAAAAGTATTTTCATAAGCTTTAGTATACTTTAAAACACCCTTTCTTTTTCCCATGGAAATGCCTTCATTAATTTTACTGACAGAACAGATGTTGCTAGCCTATTCCTCCTCCTACATGCACATATTGAGTAAGCATCTCACACTGTAAATATTTCTTGTAAATACAGTGAGATTTCTTGCAGGCAATGTTCTAACAATCACAGAGACTTGGATGCTTCATCTGATTTCAGTTGTCCATTTTAGAAAGCCTTGTAACTGTGAGCCCTAAAACAATCACAGAACAAATCAATTTGAAAATTCTGGGATGAAGTTGTCAAGGCTATGGTCCCCAGTGTGTGGATATATAACCTGGCATATTCAGTAGACTATTCCTGCTTTCCAGTGACGTTTGTTGGAAGTGATGGATTCTGATGTCTTTCACACTATTTTTTTAAGACAGAAGCTTGGTCAGAGAGTAGCTTTGCTCCCACTCATCATCCCGTAAGTGTCACTACAGTAATTAGAGAACCTTATCACTTGTCTTCCCAGTACTCTGCAAGCCAATATGAGCAGGCTGTGCTTGCCTTGGAGCCACCTGAAAACTGTATGGCTGTTGTTATTTTTACACAAAAACTGCCCAATATATCAATTTATATTCAGTACAGCAGTAATGTGACTTCAGTCAGGTTAGCATGTGGATAGAGTTTGCCCCCATGCATCTGCAAAAGACGGTGCACATGTAACCTTCAACAAAAAGTCCTGAGCCACAAATCACAGGAGTCTGAGATACCAAAAAATTATAATCTCTCCTCAACACTGATGACTTCCCATAGATTTTGAGTTTCGTCCATTCTCTTGTTTTTAGCAGGCTTTGCCTAGTTACTCCAGAAGGGTGTTGAAATGGAAACAGATGACCTCGATCACCATAGATTAAAGAATACACCTTACCTTGTTCACAGAGAGCACCTATATAGCTTGGCAGACACAAGCAAGTAAAGGTATTGAGGCCATCTATACACGTGGCTCCATTCCGGCATGGGTTAGACTGGCATTCATCGATATCTACAACGTAAAGATAAAAGTGTTTTTATAATCCACCCACATCCTAGAAAGGAAATGTTCCTCAGCCTTAGTCATACTTATTACTAGGACCAGTTGAATTCAGAAGAATGAAGTCTTGCAAAAGATCCAAGTGACCAGTTTATTTGCATGATAACTGATTTCACTACACACAACGTTCCTTTCCCTTCATCCACAAGCCAAGAAGCAGTTTCCTGAGGAAATGTGATGTTACTGATCCACAATTTTATTTTCTGCACTCTGACTCCTGAGTTAATTTCTAAAATCTAGACCTTCAATTCCTCATTGTGTAGCTGAGAAAAAAAGCGATAATGTTCAGTGTGTAGTGTTTTCCCGTACTGGTGGAAAATTTGACTTGAGTGTGTGACCATGGCACAAAACATTTTCATACAGTACTGGAGACCTCAAATACATTCATGAGTCTCAAATATTGGAAATCCTATCTTATACCATCAAACAGACTGCTAATTTTGGTCTGCAAAGCAGCATCTTATTGGTTTGCACTTCTCGTTTCTTCCTTGTCTGATCTTATCAACATAAGAAGAAAGTATCATAAAGACAGTCTCACTAAATGACCAGTCAGATAGTAACATTCATAGTCATGCATAGGTTTACTGCTGAGCCTATGGATCTGGAGTAAACAAATAACGTTTCTCTCCTCTCTGGCTGCTAAAATACCTTGTCCTCAGCTTTTAAATTGGAGCACTAGTTCATTTAATATAATTACTTTTTGCATGCCTTTGTGCAGTTTATAAGCTGGTATGTCTCTTTATAAAGATCATATGGTGTTTTCTAATGAGTGCTGTTCCTCTGAAACAATCACAGCTTAAACTTCAACGCAGATTTTGCAAACATCTTAGTCCAAAGCAAACTGCTGGTAGTGATTGACTATTAAATTGTAAGAGAGAAGTTAAACATATCAACAAACCAACAAACAGTTATGCAATCCCAGGAATAATTGCTGCATCATGTGAAAGGTTTTTTTAAATATTTTTATTGTAAAAAAGCTACTTCTGTTCAAATTTTATTCTAGCTCTTATTTATTCCAGTCATTTGGAAAGCTCTCAAGTCAACGTTTTATGCCTTATCTGCAGAACATCCCTGTAATCGAGGCTAAAAATGCTGTTTACTTGTTTAAGGACCACAGAACATATTTCTATGTGGCGACTGGCCATGGAATGTCCCACTCCAATTTGTTAATAAGCCACTAAGAGTTCTAGGGGACAAGAAGGGGCCAGTTTATTCTTTTACAAACTGGAAAAAAAATAAATAAAAAAGATAAAATTATTACCTCTGACTTCTGATTTGCAGTCAGAGAATGCCATATTCCTTGGGAAGGAAGATTTAAGATGCAACACCTAAAACTTGATATCTACCAGAAACAACCTACTAGGGAACTAGCAAACTCACCCACATGAACTAGGAAAGCAGAGCAAAACACTGGCTAATTATTTTTTTAATCACATAAGTCTTTCAGAATACAAATAAAACCACAGTAATCCTGACAATTATGCTGCACTGATATGAACCTTTGGGTGGGGTTGGGCTTTTTTCTCCCAAGCTATATATTATGGGTTGAACACATTTTAGCAACATTGCATGAAGTTTTTTTCTTTCAAATTTGGCAGGCAACTGTGTAACAGGAAAATCCATGGTGGTTATCAGGGAATTAAACTTACAATTTTTCAAAAGCCTAAACTAGTTCTACACTAAACAGCCAAACTACCACTTTTATTATACTTTGGCTTGCTGGTCTGAAAGAAAAGCTGGTTCTTCTGAACTGTACTGCCGAGTGTCTTGAACCTCACAGTCGTGGCAGGTAAACACAGATGTCACAGCCAGCTTGAAGAGGTCCTCAGCTAGAAGAGTTACCAAAATACTAATTTATACCAAAGATTTATACGATTATGATCATACTTACGATTTCCTTAAAAAGATACCGAGCTGGCATTCAGTGCTCAGCTTCCCAGTCACATTTGGGATTAGTTTTTTTTTACCACCCTTTCAAATAATTACACAAAGCTCGTAAGAACTATTCCAAATATAAATGTTTATTTGGTTTTATCTGATGTATTTATGAATGTAATGTTATGAATTCTAGGTCATGTAGTTCAATTACAATTCTCTTATGTTTGCGTACACATCTGTGCACTTCATGGGGAGAAAAGGAGTAAGTGGACCTCCTTCATTTTTTCTTCTTAAATAAGTCCTCACTATAGAATTTTTCAAATGTCTATGTGTTCTTCAATTTCAAAACACACCGCTTCTGCAGATCTCATGTATGAAAACTTTATATTCAACTTAATCATTATCTAGGTGGCAACAGCTTACCTAATTCACACTGCTCGCCGTTGAAACCTGGCAGACATGTACAGATGTAAAATGAACCACGCGGATAGCAGGTACCACCATTAAGACATGGATTGCTTTTGCATGGATCTTGGCCTGTTAAACAAGTAGAAAAAGAAAATTGGCCCCGTAGTTTCAAGGAACTGGTGTCTTTTTGATTTTTTGGAAGAAGCAATCTTTCTTCGTTTCTGCATTGGTTTTGCAAGATATATTGTAGTTACAGAAACTCTATTAACATAATAGACTACTGAGAATAAGATAGTTTTGTAAAATAATAAAACTTGTTTTCAGGTATCACTATTTTCAACTTGAACAACAACATAGCATTTATTATGAACCAGTATAAATAATTCTCAGAATTACATTTTGTCATAGCAATTTGTACTATGTTTGGCAGTCATGATATTCTGCTGAGGATTTAGTTTGCATGACATGACAATTAATTATAGCTGAAAACAGTTAAACATATGCAAAATGAATGGAAAATGCTTTTTTTTTGAACAGGGTTAGTTTATGTAGAATGATTGGGTACACAGAACATACTGGCTGGCTGCTGTTGTTTTGCTGTATTATATTTAATCAATCAATGCTCATAAAGTCTTATTTCTTTGAATGCTTTCACACATGCATATTTCCCACCTGTCTGTCTTAGAAAACACATTTCAAGAATACAAATAAAGGTTCTGAATAAATTAATAATTGAACTAAACATTAAGATAAAAGCTTACCTGCTGTGAAATCTTCAGTTCTTATGGGAGTTACCACTTAAATAGCTTTTCCTTGCAGACCTTTATGTCTTCTAGTGTTGTTTATTTCAACTGAATTTAGTTACCTAGACATTTGCATTTGATTTAATGTCTAGGAGCAATCACTCACACAAACAAGTATGCACTAGATAACCTTTTCTAAGTATTAGCTTCTCAGACTTAGAGGAAAATCATGAAGAAAATCCTTCTGGGTAACAAGAAGAAAACCCTGGCTTTGAAAACTTACAAGATGGGTAAGAGAGTTCAGTAACCTGAGTTAATTCAGAGAGATGAGCAAAGTTTAGATTTTTGGTTACATTTTTCCAAATCAACCTGATTTTATGAAATAAAAGATAAGTAACATCTATTTTACCCTTGGTCTAGTCACTGGAAAGCAGAAGGTTCCGTTGAATGACTCCAGAAGAAATCCCACTGACGTAAATTTGGAATTAAAATTAACTGGGCAGGATCTTGTTTTGGAGGTTTTGAAAAGAATTTGGTCATATCCATAAAATAGCGTGCTTGGTTTAAGACTGCTTCACTGAAAGTCCCAAACGTAGGGCTATGTTAAGCACCTAACAATGTTTTGTGTGTTTAGTGTCTCTTGGTCTGCCTGCAGACTGGATATTTTCACAGTAAACCTTTTCAAATTGACAGCTACCTGGATTATTTGAGGAAAAATAATAGAAAACCCTATAAAATTAAGCCAGTTCTGTTCTTTCCTCAGCTATATCCAAATAAAACACAAATTGAAGCAATGCTACTCATGCTCACCCTACCTGCATCATCTGTGTATTTGGTGAAATGGTGCCTAATAACCATTATGTAAAACAAAATACTGTGGCAAATGACATCTAACAAAAAGATCTGTAATTGATGAGACACTGTATCAACCAATTAAAGCTACAGACAGGCTGAAAATGCAAAGTCTCGGTTTTCTGTTGTCTGGAAAGTTATTTTGTAGATTAAGAAAATTTATTTTTTATAGAAAATTCTGATCCTAAAATGCGCACTAGATCTGCTCTCCAAGTCAACTGCAAGATGTTGTAAAACAACCCTACTTATAAACCAATTGTTTAAGGACTACCATCATGCCAACACAGAAGAGCTGTCAGACAAAATTATCTGTTAGAAATCGAAAAATTAAATAATTACAGCTGAATCTCTACCACAATCAATGTTACCTCCTGTCTTTTAGAACTGGCTGGTCACCTCAAGTCTGATCCAGAGGTCCATGATGCAAACACCCAGGAAAAGTCACTGAGCTTGAATTTTGGTACCCCCATCCTCCTTCACTTTGTAGGGGTTACAATCATGCTGATTTCAAAGCCTGAAGGTCATGAGTTCTGTTGTTATATCACATGGTGCTGATTGTCATACCTCTTATCAGAGTTAAGACATACACTTAAAGTATCACAACAAATATATACAACAGTGATCATATTTGGAAGTTACCTGGAATTTGCACTGCTGTGCCTTCAACTGAACCCACACTGGTGCCAATCAGGAAATCTGATCCATTAGTGACTTCCGGAAGGGAAAATGACGAGGTTACAAGTTCAATAGTATTTGTCTCCTCAGAGCTTATCGTTGACTGCTCATTTTGATATGGGCTGTTTCCAGGGGCAATGCTGTTTGTTGCAATGTTAGAAGAAATAGTCGTGATCTCCCCTTGATCAAACAAAGCTGATTGTGTTTCCGTGCTTCTATCCAAAGGTTGTGAAGATGAAGCTAGCATTGTAACTGCTTCCTGGTCAGGTTTAAATATCTCCCTTTCAATACTACTGGGTGAATCTGAAACGGGTGTGGAAAAAAGCCATGGGATCTCTCTCTTGGTACTGCTGTCATCTTCTTGACGGGGGTTGTTTACTCTCCCTGAGGAAGCTTCAAATTTTATTGTGCTAACTTTCGGAACATCTGTGCTTGCTCTTTCTCCAAAATTCAGAAAAGCAGTAGGCAAGACATGTGTTGATGGAGAATCTCCAGAAAGAGTAGCTTCTTCCTCAACAGCCAAATCAGTTACAGAGGTTTCTGTCTCCTCTGTCCTGTCTGTTACAACTCTATTAAAGTGAGGAGTACTTTCAGTAGTTGTGCTTTCTGAAACAGGCTTGGGAGAAAACTCCAGCAGAGAAGATTCTGTTCTGTCAAGAAGTTCTGTAGTGGGTGGTTTATATGTTGCTGCAATATCCGAACTAACCTCTTTGAAGGTTCCTTCTGATGAACGATCAGGCTGATCTGAATCCTTTGATGATGATGTACTTGGAATGATTACCTCAGGATACTCAGATACTCCATTAACTAACTGAACAGTTACTGAGGATTTAGGAGTTTCAGGTACAGAATAAAGGCTCACTGAATCTGTTTCTTCATACTCTGCTGATGCCGATTTTGTGTTTGTATATACTGTAGGATGTTTTTCTTCATTCTTGCTAGACGATACCGTCATCAGTTGGGATGTATGCTGTGTTGTGACAATATTTACATCAAGCATGTCAGTTGTAAAAGCCTTTTCAGTCTCAGTAGTTAAAAATGGGGTACGAGAAGGAACCACAGGCTGCTTATCATCCAGTTCTTCTTGGCCCATTCCAGAAAACCCAGAGACAGAGATTGTTTCACTTTGATCTGCTATTACTTGGTTGGTTGCTGAAGTACTGAGCTCATAGGTGTCTTCTGTTGTGCTTGTTACAACATGTTTAGACTCATGAGGTACATAAGGGCTTGCCAGTGATGGTACTGTAGGAAGGAAAATGCCCAGTTCAGAGAGTTCAGTAGTGATGAGAGTTTCTGTTGTAAACTTCATGGCATTCCCTGAACCCAAATCCTTGTCGTCTGATTTTGGTCTGTGCCCAGCTGTTACTGATTCACTACTTGGCTGACTAGAAGTAGTCAAGGAGACACTATCACCAGATCCAAGTGTTTTCTCTTTTGTTATGGAAAATTTAGGTGTTGACTCATATTTCTCCCCTTCAGCTGTCATGCTATCATCACTGCCATATGTTGATTGTTTGACAGGATTTGGCATTGTGTGCACACTAATTATATCTTCAGGCATTGATTTTGAGTGATCCATGTCTATAATAGTTGTTTCTTCTGATGGGATTTGAAGTCGTTCTTCAATTAGTGTAATATCACCATAAACAGAAACATTCAATATAACACTTCTTTTATCATCAATCATGGGAATAATTTTCTCATATATCCCAGTATCACTTGTTAGTTCTTCTGATGTAGCTGTCTTAGGTTGAGCAGCAGATGGATTTGCCATGATCTCTTTTTCTTCTGTAAAAAGGGATGCTAGTCCTGTGATCACAGTGTGTGATCCACCTATCGGTGCCTCTGTTGTCATAACCTCAGAATAAACTTCCCCAGGAACACTAGATGAAGCATTTAGCTCTACAGTTGACACAGGGGGTATTGACAAATGAGTAAACATATCAGGAGAAGACGAATCCAAAACACCAACCCAGCCAGATCCCTCTCCAGAGCTTTCAGGTAATAGTCTGCCTGGCATTTTTGTTGCTGATGTTACAAGCGATTCTTCTGTTTCAAGATTAGGAGTTCCACTCAGTATTACAGAAACAGGAGTCACACCATCTTTAATCAGCAAATGTGAAGTTTCCTCTTGAGAAACCACTTCAGAAGTAGCTGTTGTCCTATCTGTTTCATTTTCTCCTCTCGTATAGTCAGATTCCTTATTTTCAAGTTCTTCAACTGCAACAAAATAATGCGTCATCTCTTTAATCTCTTTAGAGCTGAAGCTCTTGGAACTCTCTTCTGCTAAAGCTGGGGAACTTGTGATTACTGAGCTGGGGAATTGGTCTTCTGTTTCTGACAGCCGCTCATTTACAGCACTTGTAACTTCCTTAATTTCAGCATTTGATTCTGTGCTTCCTCTTTCAAAGTCTTGTGTCTTGTCAGTTGAAAGTTCAGGTTTCATATTTGCAGAATGAGAAGTTTGAGGACTTGAAGTACTCATGATTTCTTTGACAGCCAATGGCACTACAGAAGGAATAACAGCAAGGTCATCTCCTGATCCTTGTCCTGAAAATAATGGATCACTGGTGAGCTCACTGGTTGTTAGCTTTTCTTCTTCAGGTGTCAAGAATAATCTGGGGATATCTTTTGTAGGTAAAATATTTTTTTCCAACTCCTCCTCTTGCTCTGTATCTGTAACTGGAGAGCTTATGTATTTCCTTTCAATATTCACAGGCTCAGTTATTCCATCATCATTAAATGGCAAAAGTGGTTTTTTAACAGATTCTGTTTCGAATTCCTTTTCTTCTGAATATGGACTGACAGTCGGAACATTTAAAAATCCCAGATGTTCCTGGTTAGCCTGTGTAAGTTTAAAGAGTGGGTCTGTTGTTGCTTCTTCAGAAGATTCTATAACTTTTGGTGAAACTTCCCTTGGCTGGTCTTCCCCAGAATGTGTATCTTCCACCGAAGGAATAGTCGTAGTAAAAGTTCTCACTGTTAATTCATCAATCGTCTTCTCTTCCATTCTTATGCCAGTTACAGTTCCCATTGCCACAACTTCATGTTCAGTACTTGTGACTAGCTCATCAGGTACGTCAGTGAAGGCATGATCCATAGATGGTGTGCTGACAATTTTTTTGTCATACTTCTCTTGTGTTTCTGGTCTCCCAGTGGGTGAAACTACTGGTTTTGCAAATGATTCAATGAATGTGTCTGCTTCTCCAGATCCCTGATCAATAAATGAGAAAAGACTTCCAAGTATTTCTTCAGTAGGTCCATTAGACATTGTTTTTGTGGTGCTGCTGTCACCTTTGAATTCTTCTCCAGATCCATGCTCAATCAGGAGAATCTTGCCTAATGAGACAGTTGAAGAACTAACTTTTGCATTTTTGCTTTCTGTAGATTCAGCTACTCCTTTTATACTGCCAGTACCATGTGTCACCATGATGTCATGAGGGTTGTTACTAACTACTGATTCTGGAGATGATGTGACCTCACCTGTTTCTAAATCTTGAGTTTTAACTCCTGGTGCAACATGACTTATTACCTCTTTTCTAGAACCAGGACTAGATTTTAATTCATAAGGAGCTGTGTAAGTTGGTTCTGTTTCCTGGTTTTGTTCTCCTGGGTTCCTTGTACTAAACATATCCTGGGACATCTGACTTGCTACTCCAGTCTCCTTAGTCAAGCCATCTGACCCAGTACTTGTAACTGATATAGCTGATTCATCTGTTCTTGCATGTGCTTCATATTCTGTTGTTGCATTCTTCAGTGAAACATCATCTATGCTGTAAACTTTCCCTTCATGCTTTTCTGTTTGAGTTTCAGTGACAGGCCTTAATGGAACTGAAGTCAAAGTAGCAGACTCAATGATAACATCTACATCTCCAGAACCTGGATCAATAAATGGGGAGTCAGTACTTACCACTTTTCTTGTGGGACCCCCTGAAAATAAGTCTACTGGTTCTTCTGCTGAGCCTTCATTTATAAAAAGCTTCTTCTCTCTCACAAGAGGAACAGTGGTGACCTTTTTGATTTCAGCGCTTATGGTACCTGTCACTGGTACTGTTTTCCTGAGCCAGGTGGGCTCTTGACTTACAGTTCTGACTTCACTAGTAGTGCTCCCAAGTTCATTAAACTCTGAATTTCCCTCTGCAGAAGTAGCTGAATTTTCCTGACTTGAATAAACAGTGGTCTGTACTTCTTTTTCACCTTCAATATTCCTTTCAGTTACAAAAGAGCTGGCAACTACTTTTTCCGTAATAAACACAGAATTGGTGGCAACAGTAGCTTCAGAACTTTGATCAAGAGCAGAATAAAGAGTGCCTATTCCTTTGGGTAAAACAGAGGTGATTCCTGAAATGGCTACAGAATTTTCTGTTGGCAGTACTGTGCTGGAGCCCACAGAAATATCTTGCGTTGACTGTGTTTCTGTTACTGCTGTTTCTGTTGTCATGGCTGAAGTTACAGCAATGTCTTCTTCTACATCTCCAGAGCCTTCTAGAACTATAAAAGCAGCACTCATCTCAGGCTTTGCTGTATGACTATTTGTTTCCAGATTTTCTGCAGGGGCATTTGCATTAATTTTAATGGTTGATTTATCATGATCTCCTGGAGCAGGGGTTGCTTCTTCTGCAATAAGGTCTTTCACGCCTATGCCTACCGTAGCAGTATTAAAAACTGCATCCAGAGAAGCAGTTACAGCAGAACTTTCCACAGTAAATGTATCAGGAGCAGGAGTTATACCAGAATTTTTTTTGTCATCTTCCCTTCTTGACATTGTCACAATTTCTGAGAAGACAGAACTGGATAAATCAGATTCAGTGGAGCCATCTCCAGAAGATTCATTAGTAATCAAGAGCAAGTTTTTTGTATCTTTAGTAGAGGTCTCCTCAGTTCCATGCTGTGTTACGGTCTCTCTATTCTTTTGCAGAGACTGTTCATGTGAAGAAGTAGTGGCTACTGATTTTTCTGTTGTGGCAACTTCTGACTCACCACTATAAACAGGTTCTAACATTGCAACATCTGCTGTCGGTTGTGTAACTTCAAACGCCCCTATTACTTCTCCAGCTTTGCTTGGTTGCATAGTACCAGAAGCTTCAGTTTCAGGTATTATAAACGTGTTTGTTTCATTAATTTGAGAAAAGGTTACATTTTTGGAATGTGCAACACTTTCAATTTGGTCACTTCTCGCTTCTTCAGCTTTTGTGCTCTTAGGCGCACTAGTAACTTGTTGCTTTCCATTGATGAACTGCAAAGCTGGAGGAGTTGTAACATCAGTAGTATTTTCACAGTCTTCCTCTTCTTCAAACTCTATAAAGTTTGGAAAGAAAGGATCCAATATTATATATTCAGATGAATCCTGCACTGAGTCTGAAGTACAGGGTTCAGTCTGAGTTGATTCTGCATCAATGTGGGGTTCATCTATTGCATGAGGAAGCATGTGGCGATTGAACAGATCCAAAAATTCATTCACCGGATGATCTGCAAAAAAAAGAGAGCTTTTCATAATCCCTAAGTGACAGTGATGGTTGCGCATTATGTTCATAGACATATGAAGTACAATAAATCCATAGGAGACAAAAAAAAACCAACAAAAAAATTGAAAATGAAACATAGTAAATTCAGTGTTTTCTTCTATTGACACAAAGGTAAATGCTGCCACAGTGTTTGACTTCCTAGCTGAAGCCTTTGGGTATACTGAACACATTAATAATGTAATACTGTCGATTGCCATGCGTGTTTAGTCCCAAACCCGCACCTGAGGTAGCTTATTCTACACTATTCAGCAGAAATAAGAAATGGACAAGATGAAAATAATTTTTAGACCAAAAGACCTTGGTCTCAACCTGCAGCAAGTACTTCCATGGATCTGAGATGCTAGCTAATATTTACCAAAAAATGAGCAAGGCAAAGTCTAAAATAAAATAGGACTTATAGAATATGCCTCTGCAACTCCATATATTCTCAGTATAGAGTAATTCAAATTACTAGGAACACCATAAAAACTACATCAGCTGCTCTGTTGTTTACACTTGGACCCTAGGTCAGTAAATAAAGTCTCACTTTACAAAGTTCTTGCTACTTGGCATTATAAAGCATTATGAAGCAAATAAAAAATATCCCAGATTCAAAAACTGATCACCATTCAGGCAGTAACATGAGTAAAGTCCAGCTATTTTCTTCTCCTTACCTCTCAATTTGAATTATTTACACACTCCCACAGACTGCAAACCTCTCAAACCTTTTTCTAGGTGGCCAAGCAGATAAAAAGGAGGAAGGAAGTTCTAAATAGACAAGGTTTTAGCTGCAGAAGCCCTCATGAACTCCTCTAAGATTTATGATCCCAAATTGCATAGACACTTTGTAAGTGTGCCCCCTCAGCACAAACTTTACTTCAAACATTCCATTCCAGGCAATAGATGCTACCCTCATTAGAAAGAAAAAAAAAAAAAAAAAAAAAAAAGGAAAAAAAAAAAACAAAAAAAACACCGGAGCCGAGTGCGGCTGCCGTTCTGCAGGATCAGTCCCTGTGCAAGCGGCGTCAGTGCTGTTCTTAGGAGCTATAGCGCTGCTAGCACCGCGGCCTGGGGCAGGAATGTCAGAGAAAGGGGGTAAAAAGCAACTTGTGTTCTGTGATGAGGTTCGTCAGTAATAGTCCTGAGGTAATTGCTGAAGAATTGCCCTCTCTCTAGTTTAGAAAACATAACCGATTTCTAGGAGTATAACGCAACAGAACAACTTGCATCCGATGCAAATTGTCGGTCACTGTTATTAATTCATTTATTTGATTTTTTTTTTTATGGGGCTGGAAAGCTTGAAGCTAAAGAAAAAAAAAAAAAAAAAAAAAAAAAAGAGGATACAACAGACTCAGAAAAAAGTCAAATTTCAGGCTTGACTGACTGACTTGAGGCTGGAAAGTTTGTGCTGAAATCTTATTCCATCAACATATCTTTCTTCTGAGTCTATGCTTACAACTGTTTGTCCAGAGCAAAATTACTGTTTGCTGGTATAAGCTGGTGTAGCCAATGGAGCTTTGTCTATATCTACCAGTAGAGGATCTGAACCCACGTACAGGACTCCTGTCTTACAGCACTGCCAGCAACGACTGCTCCCCAAAGAATATTTGCAGGTATTCTGGCATAGCCGGTATATGACAAAGAGCAATTCTGAAGTAAATCTTCCTCATTAAAACTATTTACAAGACAAAAAAAAAATGAGAACCTGACAGGCACAGTGTGTCATTAGTTTGAAGTAATTCCCCTACACGTGAACATCACTTAACCGCTATGACTACTGAGCCCTCAGAGATAGGGTAATCAGGTGATCACTCTGGAAAATAATGTATTAAATCACATTAAGCTGATGCAGAGCACTGTGAAAGGCTTGTGATTCTTTTGGCGTGGGGTGTTTTGTATGTGCAAATTGACCGCAGCACGGGTTTTGAAAAGGTCATTGCAACTCTATTGAGAATTAACATTCTAATATCTCATGCTGTGTTTACGGCTAAACTCATGAAGTGTTACTGAATCTTCATTTCGCTAAACCTCCAGCTGAAGAGTAAATGGCACCTTCAGGTCCATTTTACAAAGAACACGTAATAAGGGCCCCTGAATCCAAGGGTTTGATCTAACTGTTAAACAGTTTGGGAAAAATTAAGATCTATGCCAGCCTTACAGAGAATAAATCACCTTCAGCTTGTATATTTCTACTAAAATACTCAGTTTGTACAGTACTAAGTTCAGTGTTCCCAGTGCAATAAAAAAGGTTGGTTTTAACCTCATTTCTGCCTGGCTACTCTATATTGCCTCAATGAAGCCTCATGTTTACTTTGTGCTATGACAGCTGTATCGAATGACTACAGAATTGAAACTCCTTCTCTCTCTCTCACATGTGCATGTTCAGAGTTGTTTTATTCATGTTCATAAAGAGAGAATTTCTCCCTCTTCCTTCCTCCAGGAGGTTAGAAATGTTTACAGAGGCTGCCCAATGCCACAGAAAAAAACATAGCTTCTGCAGCCTTTCATTTTGAGTCTTCCCAGATCTCTGTTTCAAATTTTCTTCAAGCAGAAAAGCAAGAATTTAGTTATTTGTCCAAGATTTGCAATGTGACATGGAGAAGCATGTCTAATAACACCACTTTCAGAATCCACAAATTTTAGCAAGCAGCAATGCTAGTCATATTGAGGAATCATATTTTCATAAAAGTAGATGCTCTAATCGACACAGAATTGTAGACCTCCTTTTCAAAAATGTGAATGCAAAAATACATAGGAATTAAATAACTAAAAGGGGAATGGGAAGTCAAAGCTGCTAGGGAGCTTTGAGAGTTTCTGATTCTCAGTAAAGTTGCGATAAAATAACTGAACCAATATACAGAACCAGAGAACTACATATAGAAATGAGCATGGGGCAGAAAGACGGTTTGTGCTGTGTGCACAGCTTAAGATGGAATATGAATAAATAACCTGGTATATAGGTTATTATGGCATAAGGATTAATTATTATTTCATACACAGCTGTTGGGATGGTGGGCACAAAACATGTAGCATGCTTTTGCGGAGAACTGTACATTAAAAAGAATGATAAAACCTGGATGGGACTGGATAGGCTGTAATTTGTAGGAGGGTACCATGACTAACAAGTTCTGACCAGTGTATTATTTTTGTAGCAGTGCACACCTGGGAGTCCCTCAAATTACTAGCTCACGCTAAATCATTTATGGTAGGTAATAAATTTAATGAACAACATCTGTTCCAAATTCACCTAGAAGACATATACAAATTCTTAACATACGCAAAGATCTCTATCAGACCTAACTTTTACTTTGTTAGCTTTTTCAAGATCTCACACGCCACAAAGATCCACATAAAAGAACGTCAGCTAAAGTTATGATATCCCAATAATAAACTTTCAGGAGGCTTTTTCATTAAATACTAAGCATTTTTGGTTTGGGTTTTTTTTCCAAGAAAAAAATAACCAGCTTTTAAGAAAATAGTAAAGAATCCAATTGATTTTTTTTTTTTTTTTTTTTTGCCAGAATTTCTTCTCCTTTCTAGAGCTTTGATTATTCAGTGTTAGCAATCAAGCTGCCAATGCTCAGGGTTAGCAGCTATGGAAAATTCTCTTAAACCCCGGAGATGGCCAATAATCTATGTAACAATATCGCTCATATAAAATATAACCTTGTCCTCTAAGAATAGGCAAGACACTAGGATGAAAACCCTAAGTGCTACCATAAAACACGAATACAGGAGGGAAAAGTCTTGTCTGTTGAACTGGTTGGTTAGACCCTTAGGGCAGACACATGCACACTTGCAATGGTTTTAAACTGGCTAGGTGCAGCTGACATATGTTGCCCCTATTTACGTTCATGTCTGTTCCAGCTGCAGGTAAAAACATACAGACCTGAGACTGTTAATAAAAGACAAAATAAGGACTTCAAAGGAAAGGAGTTTGGCTCCTAAATATGTTTATCTACAGTTCACACACTGTCACGGCAAACAAGCCAAAAGGAGCACTTGTTCAGAGAGGTGATTTGTTACTATAACTCCAAGAAAAAGAAAGTAAAAACAAGTAGGTAAAAAGTAGTAACTTCTGCATAGCCAAAAAATGTGTCATGTGTAGTAATATTTTTTCTTGAGAAGATTTTTAATATTCTACAGAGAACCCTAAAGGACTTTTCCAATATAATTTTTGAGGGGGCAGGAAGTAAAAAGCATTTTCTCTCTCAAAAACATTCAGATAAGGAGCTGAAAAAGAATCAATAGAGAATTAAATAGAAACCAGATTCTGCTGTTGTCAAAAACCAAAATATTTCATTCAGAAGGCTTATGGATTTAGCATGCTTTTGTGAAGTCTCCTCCAAAACTGGACTGGTAACATCTAACCTGGCATCCTCCAGATAACAGAATTTCACCTATAGATTCCTGCAATTTGTCCATTTATTGCTTCAGAGCAACATGCTGGGTTGTTTGTGAGAAGTAATAAGAGTTCAGTCTTTCACAGAAGGACTAGAAGTCTGTTAAACCCATGAAATTCACAGAAAGATTCACAAAATGTTCTGTGGCCTTCGGACCAGGCTCTATATTTTGATTAGAATGGAACTGAAGAGAAAAAAAGAATTCAAAAAGACCAAAAATGTTTTGGACTGTTTGTTTTGAAAGCATGTGTTTCATCGCAGAATGTGACACTATCACAAACTCCATAACATTCACCACCAAGAACCACGAGACAGGTTAGCATGAAAAACCAAACCAGAAAATTTTGGGGTTGGCTTCAACAGAATGATATCAGGGTGAATTTAAACCATAGTATGGCTAAAATGTCATTAAAATATTGTATATATGTGGCTTTGTATCAAATTTCTGCAAATGTAACATTCAGTGACTGTGAAAAAGGTAATGCAGTAACTTGCAACAACAAAAAAACCCGCTTGACTAAGAGAGAAAAACAATAAACAATTTAATTTTAAGATAAAAATT